ACATCTCTCTCCAAAAACGTTATTGATGATATTGAGATATCCATAAAAAACGATCAGAACGGATACATACCCTTTTTATACGGAAAGGTCATAGCGAAGCTACATTTCAGACCTATAAAACAGCGTTTCTAAAAAGAAGAAAACAAAAGAAAAAACTATTGGAAGATGAGGAATAGCCACTACACACACGATGACGGCCGATATATGGCATATTATATGAACCAAGCCGGCGGAGAACTACCGGGATTTATAGGATCTCAGACACAATATGGCAATGGTTTGGGGGGTATATTTAGGGGCTGCTCAGGATGGCCCTTCCTCTTTTAAAACGGGGATTCAGCCTGGCTAAACCACATTTGAAAACAGCCGCTACTAACATCATCGGAGACGTTGTATCAAATATAGCCAAAGGACAGTTCTCTGGGGCTCAACAACAACAAGAGCAGCAGCAGGGTCACGGCATGCTAATACACACCCGGAGGGCTTTGAAAAGACCCCCCACAGGCAGGGGAGGTGCGGGGCCAGGGACCAAAAAAAGTAAAAGGGATGTTAGGAACAAGACAGGAGTCAAAAAGAAATCTGGCACAGTCCGAAGAGGTTCTCATAAAACGAGCCCGGATTTTGGCTAAAGACATATTTTAGAGGTAGAAACTATGGCGCTCATCCATAATCAGTCGGCGGAGTGTGTCAAGTCTGAACTGGATCTCTTTACTGTTCCTTATACACAAACGTCCATAGAGAAATATTCCTTCATCGAGATCCCGCCAGTCTCATCCATTACAGACAGAGGCCCTTGGCCATATGATTGTTGAGTCGCATCATTAAAGGCCTCTAAAAAATATTTAGTATTACCGGGAAACATCTGTCTGGCCAGTAGTGTGATTTGATATTTATCCCTAGGGTTTTTAAACAGAATGAGATAGTTGGTGTTTAAACTAATAGTGCGACTAGATTTACCCTGAATAAATACATTTTGTACTAAATATATACAACTGAGATTTCTATGATGTACATATTTGGTAAAAACATTTTGAACTTCTATATTATTCCCGGCATCATTCATTAAATCGTCTATAATGAGTAGATTGTTTTTGGCAGGAGGTAGTAAAACATCATCGCACAGAGACTCTGGTAAGCCCTCTACAAAGTTAATGTCTCTTGTTTTAAGCAGTTGATCATATAAAGGCTGCCAGCATGAATAAATGTAGAGGACATTGTCAATACGATGTGAAATAACCCTCTCAGCATTTGCAATAATATCCTTGACAAAAAAAGTCTTTCCACAGTTTGAAGGCCCACTCACTACCAAACTAAAAGGGTGTTGTAGTCGTGCATCAAATCCTTGATCGCTGTTAGTATCCATAAGGAAGGGTCGTATAGTCAGACAACACCCTCCGCTTATTGTACACCACTCTGACTTGCTTAAAAACTGTCTCGTTTTTAAGATGTAACTTCTTTTTATCACGCCTGATAGTTTCAGACACAGTGGTCAAAGTGTGTGTGTTGTGATTGGTTACATAAGCCTGTACGAGACCAATCAGTGACTGGGGGGTGACGACGGAGGCGTTTCTAGCGTTTAATGTGACGCCTTTACATTTGACAGCTGTTTTACCCTGCATTGTGTTATAGGCATAGCATTTGGGTCCTCCTGATACAAACTCTGTGATGTAGTCTTCACTAGGCAGCCCGCATATGTCTCCGCTGTTTAACTCATCAGTCAGGTCACCAAGATATGCCCCCAGGAGCGGCACCCATTCGCTCCCTCTCGATGTAAAGACAATGCTGTCTGTGTCACAGTACAAGACCCTCTCCTGCAGTTTGTCTAACAAGTCGTAGAGCATCAATCTGGCATGGGCAGTTGTCAGGGCTCCTATAAAGACGTTTACGTCTTTTATACGGGAACCGCGGGCGTCTGCATGTCGCCTCTGTATCAAAGCCACGTCATCTGAGATAAAACAGAATTGTCGCACATCAAAGTGGTCACTAAACATCAATTGTGTGAACCGAGCCGGATCTGTGATCAGCTCGCATGCAGGCATATTATTGCGCATACTAAAACGGCCCCACAAAGAGTTTAAGAGGAGTTTGTTGCAGCTTCTCATGGCTTTGTTGACCCTGATTTTGTCAGGGTTTAATTGAATGCCTTCCTTTTCAAAATAGTCTTTGACATATTTCTCCTTGTCGTCAGGGGTTTTGACATGGCCGGGGTAGCCTGACGCTTCCTGTTTACACTTCATGAATGTCTTCACATACCCGCTGAACAATGTGTCTGTTTTGTTGGGGAAATGCCAAACTTCATCAATGGACACAATCCTGTTTCCCTTTTCCACAGCCTCCTGCAGTTCAATTGACACCCAGACCCCCGCCAGCAGTCTGTCTCTGTCTCCGTGAGTGCACTCGCCACTCTGATTCAAATCCTCAGCACATTTGCCACACAAGGAGAACATGAGTTTGTCACAACATCTGTATGGTAGGACCAGGTGAAACAGCCCTCTGGGCGGTAGCACTGTGCACTTTATGAGTCCAAATACTTGTCAATAGACTCAAAATCCTTCAGGATAACCTGAGGATGTCCAACGGGATACTGCTTTTTAGCCTGAACCGTTGGATAAAGACTGGTGAAGTCGTAGTACCTGATTTTTTCATCAGCACCGATCTTGTGGTACAGCTTCATAGCGTTTGTACGTCCCCCAAAGAGGGCCTTTCTAGGCTCTAGACGCTCACGCCTGTACAGCCCCGCTCGTCCGTTTTAACGAAGACCACTCACACTCCCACAACACTACAACTCGCAGCCTGTTGTTTTTGTAGAGAATATATTTTGTCCATGAACACCCTGTATTGTCTACCGTAGGTGATTTTGTAACAGGGTTCATGTCGCTCTGGACGTGGGTTTGACACATCCGTGGAAAAAACATCCCGCAAATTCATAGCAAGTGTTTGCTACAGAATTATAGCCATCCACATAGAACGGCTCAAAAAGCTGTTCACCGTGATTGAGAGCATGTTTAATCTCGATATTCTCTGTGAGGGCCACATATTCAAGCCATTGCATCGATACATCAGAATACGTCTTATTCTGAGCAGTGGATGCCCCCTCAAACGTCAGAGCAACTGTGTCCTTTGGGAGAAACAGGGTTTTGAACACCCCCATGCAGCTGGATGCTAGGGTGGTAAATGAGAAGGGGTCAAGCTCCGTGCACTCGCACTATGAATGTCTCACGATAGATGCTGCAGGCTTTTCGCAACACTTCTACATCGTTAACACAGTAGCGTCCGATTTCTTTTTGGAAGTCAAATGTTCCTCCTGAAACGGCATTATACCATTCCATGAATGTCGCTTTATCGCTATCACTCATATCGTCAAAGCCGTAGTAGGACGGATCAGGATATTTACCGACATAATACTCATGCTCCCGGGTGTTGAACTTGTGGGGAAAATAGCCTTTCTCGACATCACTGAACCCTAGGGCAGCGGGGGTTTTTGACAATCGCATGGGAAGGAAACTGAATGAGTCAATCCATCTCTGCCGCTATGAAATGTCATACATCAGTATCACCCGACTCCCTCTCATGGTGACTTGCGGAGTGATCTTTTGTTTGACAAAATATTCCAACAGAATATAGTTGTCAAAGCCGGATGCGTTGTGGGCGATAAACGTGTAGCCTTTGTATCTAGGTCTTCTGTAATACTTCACAAAGGTGTCCACACAATTCAAAGTACTGAAACAAAACTTTTTTCCCTCTAAATCCATAGCACATACATAATTTGCCTCGTGTTTTCCGTTATGAAACCTTGTCTGAAAGTCAAATAATATGTAGGTTGTTTGCGGCTCTTTCTTTTCAAGAGGCTGAATAAAACACTCATGTTTATCTTTGCTCTCCATCTGTTGCTCACCACAGTGGGCGCAGACTTTTGGAGCGCATTTGTGCGCTTTTTGTCCTGCTTTGTATGTTTTTCCACATGCATCACAGTATTTCATAGCATCACAGGGGATGAGGGCATGGACGCTTTCTGGCCGCTTGTGCTGATCAAAACAATATTTCGACTTACATATGCGTTTACAATCACCGTATTTCTGTGTTTTACCCAGCTGTGTACGACACTCTAATGTAAAACACACATTACACAGATGTTCACAGCTGTGGTATAGTCGATGGTCATAGGCATGGTAGCAATACTGGCATACTTGTTTTGCCCCAAAAAAACCTTGCTGGTTTTCAATCAGGTGATAATGGTCATTGTGTAGATATAACCAGACTGTCCGGGGATGAGGCGCATCGTGGGTTTGGAAACACTGAAGTCATTTACAACCTGCTGCATGGTGGAAGATTATGATTTTCACACCCAGATGTCTTTCAAAAGCATCTACATCAGAGAATGAGACCTTGTGCATTGGTCTAAAACCCAACGATCTATGTAGTTGAGTTGCAAATCTCACTTTATCTTGCAGGGACATGTCTGGATGATTAAAATGTGCTAAACAGAGCGAAAAGCACAGGTTATTATCAGTATTGTCAGGGGTGTGCAGAAACCGACACGTCTTTGATAATATCGCATCGTAGGGTACATTTGCTAATTTTAGATAGACCCCACCGTTTCTATTTTTAGCTACGGTGATCACTAATTCCAATTCATCATCCGTTATGGTCTCATCATTGCTCTGTATCACTTGAGCAATTTGCTCCATAAACAAGTCAGAGTTGTACGACTCGTTTACGCGTAGAACAGCTTGTATATCACTAGCCAATGAAGGTCCCCGTAACAAAACGTTCAGCACACTACCAGCCGGAGAGGCCTCTACAGCTCTATCAATTACACCGCCACTATTTCTCTGACCATGTAGGGGATTTGCTCGAGGTCAGTAAGATCCACGTTTCTGAAATCAACCCTTTGTCTAAGCTCAAATGCATTGAATGAAGGCATCTCTCTCCTGGTGACTGTCCTTCCCTCTATGCCCGAGGAGGTCTCACCCCCCCTCATTATCTCCCCTCCTCCTCCTGTTAGTGTATCATCATGCCCCCCTTCTGTTCGGGCCTGCTCCCATGACCCTCCCTCTTGACCCTCAGCAGGCCCCCCAACACCCTGTTCATGCTCCACATCTCCATTTGCCCCCCTCTGATTCAGCCGGTCGTCACATATTTCTGCCAACACACACCCCCCAGCCCCTGCATCATTGTCTGTGTACACAAGTGGGCCGTCTGCATGATCCAACACGTGGCTATTTGCGCCTGTGGTATTAAACCCAGGGTCTAGGACACTGACAGAGTCTGCATACCCGCTATCTAGATACGATGAATGTTGTTCTGTATAATGAATTCTGTCAACATCATGAAAAGCTTCTGCAGGGTATGCAGCAGCAGCAGCAGCATCAACGCGCGATCTCTCCACCAGTGCTTGTAGGCTTTTAAGCTGTTCTGTATTCTGTAACAGGACCCTATACCCATCATCATTATTATTATTATTATTATGGTTATCCCCTGATCGTTGTATATCACCCGTGCCCCTCTTCAAAACTTTTCTGGGGGGAGGCATACTACACGTCTGTATTGTTTATTTAGACACCACCCCTTATAGACACCATGCCTAGTAGATTACCTTGGATAAAATGTATTTGTAAGTAGAGCTATGATAGCTTCACTGGATGCATTCTGAGCTATCAGGTATTGTTTTATGGAACAGCCGTTGGCGTCCTGTGTTTGTCTAGCCTCCTCTTGTTTCTTACATAGATCGGTTACTATCTCTTTTAATGCAGTGTTGAAACGACGCAGTTCACTGATTTCATTTATCAACTCTACATATAAGGTGTTAGCGGTGTCCCTCGGGTGCACAATCACCACCGTGGGTTCTGTGGGTATACCTGCTCTGTTTTGTTGAAATGGGGTTACACACTCTGCCGATGTTGCTCCTATTGTAGTACTCTCTTCTTCATAGTCACAGACCGCCTGCAGCATTTCCTCGTCAGTCAAACATTCTGGATAGTACCATGTGTCCTTTGTTGGTGTTGACAGGTCAAGCTGCTCCCTACTGTACAAGCATACACGGTTTAACAACAATAATCAGTAAAATACATAAAAAATATTTAATATTGTTCCAGTTACCTGCAACCCCTGTTTGACAGCGACGGTCAGCCGACTTTTCCCAAGATGTCGACTCTTTCAAGAGAATTATAAAATCATCTGAATGATTCGTCAAATAATAAATATATAGAAAGCTTATATCATACTGCCATTTTCCCTACCTTTGCCCGCTCTCTGGTTGGGGCACGTAGTCGTTGTTGGTAGACAATTGAGTGCAGCAATCTCCTTTTTTCAGTTTTTCAAGACTCCCGTGTATAGGATGCGAGCTGTCATCTATTTCTAAAAGGTGTAAATACCTATTAAAAAATATATACAAATATATATAAAAACAAATATGAATCACTCGCCATAGTACAATCTTTAAAGCTTTTTATTTTATTTTTATTTTTTTAAATTTATACCATTTGGGTGCTGAGTCACATTATGCAACCCTAAGTCGACACGCTTGTTCCTCGTTAAAACTGTATGTTTTCCTGAGGGTTTTTCCTCTGTTAGGTTACAATGTGTGTCCTGTTGGCTAAGAAGAAGATAGCCCCCTAGTTCATGCATTAAGCTGTTATTGGTGAATCTGAACAGAAGCGCCAGTGTCTCACTGTTTTGTGGAGGGGCCTCTCATACCATTGAAGAGAAGCAGAAGAAGACGTTTGGGGGTTGGCCCCGGCTGGTGTGCTGTGTCACATGATGCTGCACTTAGTCGACATATGTGTTCCTCGTTAAAACTGTATGTTTTCCTGAGGGTTTTTCCTCTGTTAGGTTACAAAATGTGTTCTGTTGACTAAGAAGAAGATAGCCCCCCAGTTCATGCATTAAGCTGTTATTGGTGAATCTGAACAGAAGCACCAATGTCTCACTGGTTTGTGGCGGGGCCTCTCATACCTTTGAATAGAAGAAGAAGAAGACATCACTGGGACCACACTGGGATAGGCCTCTGCTGTTTCACTAAGAATCCTGGAGCGTGAACCAGTCCAAAAGGAAAGTTCGATCGAGGCGCCAAATAACACCTCTGTAGCGGCCGAACGCCACTTCCTGTGTGTGAGTGTTGGTACTTTATTTTGAAATGTAATTAGCAGCAGAATCACGTGGGCAGGGGTACAGTGGTTTATGAATGAGTGTAGGCATCTAGGCGGAGTGATGGTTGTATGGACATGGGGGTGAGTCGGGAGACGATACTTTTTGTTGACCGTATCCTACAGCGCACTTTATTGCATCGGCGCACATCGTGTATCGCTTCGCCCGCTTGGATGTGTTTTTAACTTAATAAAATCAATGAACTTCATAGGAGGAATCAGCGTCCACCAATCTCCCGTACTTAGCCTCACGTGACTGCGTTCAGATTGCAGTCACCACATTTGTCAACAAAAAAGTAAACAAATAAGTAATCAGTTGCTTACAACAAACGTGCAGTCTTTATCACGGATTCCTGTCGGATTACGGGGTTATGGATCCGTAGAAGAAAGCTGGATTACATCGCGACAGAGATCCTTACCGAGCCACGGATTCATCCCAACGCGAACAGCCACGGTAGGCACGCAAAATCCCCACTCTCACTCATGCTGCGTTCGGAAAGTTTTGATGGTTTGCGGGTGTCCATTGGGGATCGCCGTCTTTCCGGGTGACGTTCGCCTACATCGACTGTTGAATTGTTTGGCTCGGCAGTGCGGAATCGGATGTTGAATCCCGTTTGGAAACGTGAATTTAATTGAACGCTATTGACTCGTTGGTGCACTGTGAAAACTTGAACTGTCGAACTTGAAGACACAATGAGCGAAACACATGATCGCGACGTGAATAATGTTTCCGAAACAATGGAAAAACGAGAAGTCAAACTAACTGCAAAGGCTTTGGCAATAAAAATTGAAAAACTTCAAAAGGAGCGAAAGGTGCTCGTAGATAAAATCAAAGCGCTAATTCCTGCTATAAAAGAGCTTATGAAAAGAAAGGAAAATGTACATCAGGTGCAACAACAAATACAAACCCTTACTCAGCTCCACGACACGGCCATTAAGCTACATAAGTCATTGATCCCTTTGCTACCCGAAAGCGAACACATTTCACATAAGGAATGGTTCTTAAGCATCGAGAGCTACACCAACGTTTTCAAGGACAATGTTACCCAATGGCTGAGTGAAACTACTGTGAACTTGGATGGAAACGACTTTGATGGCTTAAACAAAGACGTGCCTGACTCTGATATGCACGCCTCACAAGCACCAGCAAAGGCAGTGTCCATGCAGGGAGATCCACAGGATTGTGTGAATCCATCTGGCAGCATATCCAACGTGGGCAGCAGAGCCACGGCCAGAAGCTCTCAAAGGTCATCCATATCAAGCATTTCTTCTGCTCGCATAAATGCTGAAGCTGACCTGGCAGCACTAATGGCACGACAAGGATTTCTGAAGGACAAACATGCGCTGGAGGAGGAAGAGGAAAAGATACGAAAAGGAAAAGAGAGACTCAAGACGGACGAGGAAATCGCTGCACACATGGCTAAAGTGAGCGTGCTAAGGGCAGCAAGCATGACCGGTTCTAAAGGCAGCGCAAGACGATACGACAACATGAATCCTTACTTTGGTGAAGCACAAACACAGTCAATGCAGCAGAGAGCTGATGCTGCTACATTTGTTCCTCAGACGTTGGCAGCACCTAAGAGGGACGAGCAAGTCACGAATAGCATCAGCGACCCAGCCACAAGAGCTAAGGTCAGAATGGTCACCCAAAGTTCACATGTTCAACTTTCTACTTCTCAGCACCATATGCACGAGCATGGAACCACTTTTAGCAACGAAGGGCCTTTAGGCCGAAGTGGTCAAAACGACGTTATTGAAATTATGAAAAGGCAAAATGAAATAACAACCTTGCTGGTACAGCAACAACAAATGACATCTCTACCCAAAAGAGATCTGCAGGCTTTCGATGGCAACCCATTACAGTTTCACACTTTTATAAGAGCTTTTGAGAACGGTGTCGAAAGCAAGTCAAGCAATTGCAGTGATCGCCCGTATTTCCTTGAACAGTTCACTAGAGGTCGCCCAAGGGAACTTGTACGAAGTTGTCAGCATGTTGACCCTGAAAGGGGTTATGCTCAGGCTAAGGCTTTGCTACAGGAACACTTCGGTAATGAGCAAATAATTGCCACTGCTTATATGAACCAAGTTCTGTCATGGGCCCCAATAAGATCTGAAGATGTTAATGCATTACAGGATTACGGTTTGTTTCTTCGAAGCTGTAGCAATGTGATGAACGGCGTACAGTATATGTATGAACTGGATATGCCCGCTAATATGCTCACAATAGTAAAGAAACTGCCATACAAGCTTCGGGATTGCTGGAGAACAGTAGCCTGCGAGATGCAAGAGAGCCGTAACCAAAGGGCCACATTCAGCGACATTGTTAATTTCGTTGAAAGGCAAGTTAGAATTCTAACACACCCAGTGTTCGGGAATATCCAAGACCCCGCGCCAGCATTAAGTAAAAGTACGAATCGAACCATCTCTAAACCCAAAGGAAGTATTTTCGCTACAACTGCGACCACGGTGGAAAATAGGAATATTGGAACACGGGAATGGAAACGCTACACTGCCTTACACATCAAAGATTGTCTGTTTTGCGAAGGTGAACACACTCTAGAGTCATGCCCTCACCTGGAAGAGAAGACTCGCACCGAAAAGATCACATTCTTAAAAGAAAATGGTGTTTGCTTTGCCTGTTTATGTACAGGACATATCAGCAAAGATTGTCAAAAACGGTTGACATGCCAAGTGTGTTGTATGAAGCACCCCACAATGCTTCATATTCAGTTTAAGGAGAAGCAAGCGAAATCTGAAACTGAACAAGAGCCAGGCACGGCAGTGGGCAGGGCCTTAATGTCCAATGGCCTCACTGGGTCTGGTGAGAAAGAATGTAAACTTCCCATAGTCCCAGTACAGGTTAAGTCTAGAAAAGGTAATAAGACAGTGCTCACTTATGCTTTCCTAGATCAAGGAAGCACTGCTGTTTTCTGCACTGAGAACTTAATGAATAGGCTTAATCTCACAGGAAAGAAAACTCGTATCCTTTTACGTACTATGGGTCAAGAGAAGGTCATGAACAGCCAATTAGTCACAGGTCTCGAGGTGGCTGGTCTGGATGGTGAGATATTTTGCGAATTGCCAAGTACTTTCACTCAGGAGAGTATGCCCGTCAATAAGGGAAATATTCCACGTCGACAGGATCTTCACAGATGGCCTCACTTGCGACATGTTCATCTGCCAGAGATTGACGCAGAAATCGAGCTGCTAATAGGAACAAACGTGCCAAAGGCCTTGGAACCATTAGAAGTGATCCGTAGCGTGAACGATGGACCTTATGCCATCAAAACAATTCTAGGGTGGACTGTTAATGGACCATTGGTAGGAGACAGCAGCGACGCATTTGACATTGTCACAGTCAATAGAGTTTCAGTTTCAAACTTGGATAAGCTCTGGCAGCAACAGTTCAAAACTGATTTTCCAGAATGCAGCCACGAGGAGCAACCTGCTTTGTCAAGGGAAGACCAAAAATTCATGAAGCTGGTCAGAAATTCAGCGAGCCTTGTGAATGGACATTACCAGATCGCATTGCCCCTGAGAGAATGCAAATTAAACATGCCAAACAACAGAAAAGTCGCAGAGCAGCGCACTCTAAACCTTCAAAGGAGGTTCAAGAGAGATGTGTCTTTCCGACAGCAGTATGCAGACTTTATGGACAATCTTGTCTCCAAAAGATATGCTGAGCGAGTACCTACGGAGGAACTGGCTCGTGAGGATGGGAGATTGTGGTATATCCCACACCATGGTGTCTACCACCCTCGAAAGGGGACGATGCGGGTGGTGTTCGACTGCGGAGCACCTTTCCAGATGACGTCTCTCAATGATCAGCTCCTGCAGGGACCAGATCTCACCAGCTCATTGATAGGCGTCGTGACCAGATTCAGAAAGGAACCAGTGATAATCTTGGCAGACATAGAGTCCATGTTCCATCAAGTGAGAGTACCAGCCGAAGACATGGATTTGCTGAGGTTTCTCTGGTGGCCCGATGGTGACTTTGTACAAGAACTGGTGGACTTCAGAATGAAGGTGCATCTCTTTGGTGCAACTTCATCACCAAGTTGTGCTAATTTTGCACTTAGAAAATGTGCCGAGGACAATGAAGGGCAGTTCAGCCGGGAAGCTATCGAGAAGGTTTTACATTTTTTCTATGTGGATGATTGCCTCGTAGCCACAGCCACCGAGAAAGAAGCTGTGGCACTCCAGCACGATCTGGTGTCCATCTGTTCCAAAGGCGGCTTTAAGTTGACTAAGTGGACGAGTAATCGACGTGCCGTGATTATAGCAATACCAGAAGATCAAAGGGCAAAAGATATGAAGGACTTGGACTTGGAACAGGACACACTTCCCGTGGAAAGGGTATTGGGGGTACAATTTTGCCTTCAGTCAGATACCTTTAAGTTTAAGATCATGGTGCAACAAAAACCTCTGACAAGAAGGGGTATCCTCTCTGTCATAAGTTCAATTTATGATCCTTTGGGAATTTTGAGTCCCGTCGTCCTTACTGCCAAGATCATCCTGCAACAGCTGTGTAGAAAAGAACTTGGTTGGGACGAGCCTATACCACCCTCCGCTGCACAGGAATGGACACAATGGTTGGAGGAACTCAGTCAGTTGGACGACTTCCAGATCCCTAGGTGCCTAAAACCATTAGACTTTGGAAAAGTCATCGCAGCACAATTGCATCACTTTACAGATGCAAGTGAAGACGGTTATGGTGTTGTGACCTATCTGCTCTTGCAAAATGCACCGTCCCTGGTGCACAGCGCCTTCGTCATGGGAAAATCCTGGGTAGCGCCATTAAAGTCAGTTTCGATATCTCGTATGGAGCTTACGGCTGCTACCATGGCAAGCCGCATGGACACGTTCTGGAAAAGGGAATTACATATGAGGCTTCAGCCATCACTGTTTTGGACAGATAGCACGTCGGTGCTAAAGTACATAAGGAATGAAACATCAAGGTTCCGTACCTTTGTGGCCAATAGAGTTTCAGAAATCCTTAAAGCGTCTCAGGCATCTCAATGGAGGTACGTAAGTACCACGAGCAATCCCGCAGATGTGCCTTCCAGAGGGTTGAAGGTAGATGCGTTCCTCAAGAATAAGACCTGGCCGTCAGGACCAGAGTATCTGCTACACCCCGAACAGGACTGGCCTGCGAATCCAGATCGTTCAGGTGAACTCCTACCAGATGATCCAGAGGTCAAGGTTAGCGTTACAGTGAATGCCATGCAAGGGTCAGAGGTGGACGCCACCACTCGCTTAATGAATCACTTCTCCTCTTGGACCCATCTGAAAAGGGCCGTGGCTTGGATCCTCAGGTTTAAGAATCTGCTCGTGTCCCTCAGCCAGAAAACGAGGCAGCTGAACTTGAGTAAGCAACAGCACCTTTCCTCAGAGCATAAAGTGGAGGTGATCAAAGCCCTGGCCTGTAGCAGTTTGCTCACAGTGGAAGAACTAGCGAAGGCAGAATTTGAAATTATCAAGTTTTGCCAGAGAAGGCGGTTTTCTGATGAGCGTATCAGCCTGCAGACTGACACAAGTGTTAGGAAGAACAGCTCCATTTACAAGCTTTCGCCAGTGTTGGAGGATGGCATTTTGAGAGTTAGTGGAAGACTAAGTAGGGCAGCTATGCCCGAAGAAAGTAGGCATCCCATCATCTTAGCCAAAGATTCCCACATCTCCACTATTCTTCTCAAACATATTCATGAAGAGGTGGGCCATGGCGCACGCAATTATGTGTTGTCAAGACTACGTCAGAAGTATTGGATTCCAGGTGCTACTACAGCTATAAGAAGACTCCTGACCAAGTGTGTCGTCTGTCGTAGGTTGCAAGCCGCTCCGGGGTGCCAACAGATGGCAGATCTGCCCGTTGACAGAGTCTGCCCAGAAGAAGCCCCATTCACCAGGGTAGGAGTGGACTTCTTTGGCCCTTTCGAAGTCAAGAGCCGCAGGAGTATGGTGAAGAGATATGGAGTCTTATTCACCTGTTTGACAATATGAGCGATCCATATTGAAGTAGCATCTTGTTTGGATACCAGTGCTTTTATCAATGCACTGCGACGTTTCGTAGCAAGGCGCGGCCAAGTCCAGGAAATACGCTCGGATAATGGAACAAACTTCGTTGGAGCAGAGCGTGAGCTGAGGGAGGCTATTGAAGTCTGGAATCATGCTCAGATTAATGACATTCTTCTACAGAAAGGCATCAAGTGGAACTTTAATCCTCCTACAGGTTCACATCATGGGGGAGTTTGGGAAAGATTGATAAGATCCATACGTAAAGTTCTCAATTCTACCTTTAAGGTACAGAATCTTGATGAGGACGGATTTCATACCGTTCTCTGTGAGGTAGAGTCCATCATTAACGGTCGTCCGCTCACCAACTCTTCTCCCGACCCTAACGATTTGGAGGCATTGACCCCCAATCATTTGTTGCTGCTGAAAACATCCCCATCTCTACCACCAGGGGAGTTTCAGAAGGACGACCTCTACACTCGCCGCCGCTGGAAGCAAGTCCAGTACATGTCCGATCTGTTCTGGAAGCGATGGGTCCAGGAGTACTTGACGCAGCTCCAGGAACGCCAGAAGTGGATTGGCGTGAAACGCAACTTCATGATTGGAGATATAGTGCTCATAGTGGACGAAACAGCACCTCGTAATTCCTGGGTTATGGGAAAAGTAATTCAAACCTTTCCAGACAGAAAAGGACTAGTACGAAGGCTACTTATCAAGACTAAGACCAATTGTTTAGATAGGCCAATAACCAAAGTCTGTTTGCTACTGGAAGCAGAGGTCTGAAGAGACAATTACTTTTGACTGACTTACTACTCACATGACAAAGGTGGTGGTAAAGATCACCTTGACAGGCTAAGTGCTTGAACCTCTGGCCTAGACTGGACTCGTTCGTGAAAGAAGATGACTACACCCCCTTATTGGAATATTAATCATGGACAATCGTTTGATGTATGTTTTATGGTGTCTTTTTTGTAATTACTACAGTGTTATAATTAGGGGCTGGGATGTAGCGGCCGAACGCCACTTCGTATGTGTGAGTGTTGGTACTTTATTTTGAAATCGGCGCACATCGTGTATCGCTTCGCCCGCTTGGATGTGTTTTTAACTTAATAAAATCAATGAACTTCATAGGAGGAATCAGCGTCTGTTTGGAACGAGTCCACACCAATCTCCCGTACTTAGCCTCACGTGACTGCGTTCAGATTGCAGTCACCACAACCTCTATATATATATGATGAAACCCCTCCTACAGGGCCGTGTTTCCGGTCAAAACTAACGCCCATCGCATAAAACACCCACTGAAATGGCAAATTTCCAATCAAAACCACGCACATCATCGTCAAAAATGGTTTACGTTTCCATTCGTAAAATGACGCATTTCCGGGCATGACTTCAAAATGGCGGCCGTCACATGCCCACCCCCCCCACCCCTCCTACCCCCCAAAAGTGCCCTCTTGCACGCGTCTGAGGTCAAAGGTCACATGCCCTCGTATGGAGGTGGTTTTCCGAATTACACCGTTCTTGGTTGGTTTTGTCTACAGCTTTACTTTTTATCCAACACGAAAACCATACGGACCTCAAGTCCTCTATTTTGTCAATTTCTTTGTGAAGTTTCCTTTTTTACCACACATTCACCGTCTCACATTTTGCTATCAATGTTCCTTTGATCAGACATTTGCTTCCATCATCAAGATACTGTATCAAGTGTATCGTGCACTATACACTCAATAAGCAGCACTCAACAATTTACAGCCTCTCTCTGAGTTAAGGAAAAGACTCAAAAAACTACAAAACATCAATACAAAAAAAAACAAAAAACAGACACTATATACAACAATTCTCCTTATTTCTCATCTCTTAATTTTCAATGACTGTTTCCCCTCTTTTTAGTAAATCAATCTTTTCTACGGTTTTAAGTCTAATTCCCGTGTCCCGTGTGATCCACAACATATCTTACAAGTTACATACTTAGTCAGTTGTCATGTTAATTGCCCTTAACGAGGACAAACACATTATTTTATTAATTTGTATTTATTATAAATATAACACTATACATATAACAACACTTTTCCTAATTAAAAACAATGCAAAAATATATATATTTCAGGGAAATAAACTATGGATTTAAAAGTGCAGAAACGACATTTCTGTGTTCAACAACAACAATTCTGTGTTTGTAGACCATTTTCAGTCACTTGAGTTGGGATAGTATACCTGAAATCAGCTGCATCTCCCTCATCCTCACCTGATGATTCTTTGTGTAAAGGGAGTCAGAGTGCAGAGAAAACCCCTCAATTGCAGATTTCTTTGGTCAACGTGTTTATTCAATTCAAACCATTTTATTTTGTTCAGCTTTGCAATCTGTAAACATGCAACATCCTGTCCCAAAACCCCCAAAACGTAAAAAACCTTCAACCGGGAGAAACCTGAGGAGAAAACAGCAAGGCAGTAGGTGTGTAGAGTATGAACTAGGGATGCACCGATCCACATTTCTTCACTTCTGATCCGATCCCGATACCTAAATTTTGGATATCGGCCGATACAGATAATATTCCGATACCAGAGCTGTGTTTGAAAAACAGGAAATCCTGTTAACAGAAAAAATTCTGAAAACAAATTTGAAACTATGAAACTATGAAAAGTGCAAGTGCACACACACACACACACATACACACTTGACACACAGTCTCACTCACTCGTTCACAAAAATAACAGCACAAATCAAGTAAACTGACTCTTGTATCATGAACAACATGTCAAAGAAAGTGCAATAAAATAACTCAACATCTTACACACTTGACACACAGTCTCACTCACTCACTCACTCACTCACTCATTCACACACGCAATCACACTTACTCTCTCTCACACACACACACACACACACACAATAAGTTTGTGCATCAGAACAGCACTTAAGATGACCTGTAATAAACTAAACACCAGAGTCTAACGATTCTTTAAAAGAAAACAAAACTTGAATGTCTCAAAGTTGACTCTGAGGAAGTGATGTAGTGTTCAACAAATCTTACATCGGCAAGTTCTTCTTGAGGAATATGAGCATTTCTGCTCTCTCTTTTTTCATCCACGATATTGGCTGCCGTGCTAAACAGTCTAGCCTCAGCGCTATCCTGCTAGCCTGCTAGTTTGCTAGCTGGCTGCAAACTGTGGAATGGAGTCCTGAACGGAGGCGCGGCTCAATGAGACAGTTATGAGACACGCTCAGGAAATCCAATCATACAAGGGTCGCATGAGTTGAGCCGCATGGGGAAGGAAACGGTTGTAGAAATTCACCATGCCCAGGAACTCCTGCAGGGACTTCATAGTGCGCGGGCGTGGGAAACCGGCGACAGCCTCCACCTTGGCCGGGAGGGGTACGGCTCCCTGCGGGGTGACGTGGTGGCCGAGAAAAGTGATGGACGACTGGCCAAACTCGCACTTGGCCGGATTGATGATGAGACCATGCTCACTTAGCCGGCCGAACAGCTGCCGGAGATGCGTCAGGTGGTCGTCTGCGGACGCGCTGGCCACAAGAATGTCGTCCAAGTACACAAACAGGAACGGCATGTCCCGTAGCACAGAGTCCATGAGGCGCTGAAACGTCTGCGCCGCACCATTGAGGCCGAAAGGCATCCGCAGGAATTCGAAAAGGCCAAAGGGAGTGATGACTGCCGTCTTGGGAACATCCTGCGGGCGGACGGGCACCTGGTGGTAACCGCGCACCAGGTCCACCTTCGAAAAGATTGTGGCACCAGCTAGGTGGGCGGAGAAATCTTGTATGTGCGGCACTGGGTAACGGTCGGGGGTGGTGGCGACGGAAATCACCACAGGGACGCCAACCACCATCAGCCTTGGTCACCATGTGCAGGGGGGACGCCCACGGGCTGTTGGAGCGGCGCACGATGCCGAGGTGCTCCATGGTGGCGAATTCTTCCTTGGCAATCGCGAGCTTCAGTCTTTATCTAGACTGGAAAGCCTCTGTTTCAAGGCAACCAGCGAGAGACAAACTGCATAAGAAGGAGGAATAATATTCATATGTACTTCGATCTGAAACAATGTTTTCATGCCCGACCTGCTTAATGTTCTTATCTGCTGGCAGAAGATGGAAACTGGGCCTCACAATATGTTTTCACTGGATAAGTCATCCACCACTTATTCACCATGTCTCTTACAGTATGCCTCTGAGTAAAGAGGTTTGCGATGGGAAAATAAACTCACCGTAGTCTAGTCGGAACTGAAGTGTATCGTGGTCTGTGACAGCCACATGACGGTTACTGGGAAAGCGGTTTCCATGGTGTCAGAGTTGTATTGTTTCTTTTCTTTTATAAGAACAAAACAAAGGGTGTGACACGTTTTTTTTTAACGCTCTTAACAACTGCTTCAGGTGAGCTTTGGTTTCCTGAACAACCTCCTCCGCGCCATCAAGGACACGTTGGAGATTACGCACGGCGGCGGGTCCACTCTGCCCGAGCTGCTGAGCAATGCAAGTGTCACACACACGGGGGGGAAACGCACACAATGACACCGACACACTGACTCTGCCCACAGACGGCACGCATTTATATTGTAAATCTCCCTCGATAAGATTTGGAGACAAGGAAACACTTAAACAAACAAGATAAACCTGTCCTAATATTAGCTGAACCCATGTGCACAATATACGAGAATCCAGAAATGCAAACAGTGTGTTTTTTTAACAAACATAATATCATTGTAGCGGCCGTCTGCCACTTCCTGTGTGTGAGTGTTGGTACTTTATTTTGAAATGTAATTAGCATCAGAGTCACGTGGACAGGTGTGCAGTGGTTTATGAATGAGTGTAGGCATCTAGGCGGAGTGATGGTTGTATGGACATGGGGGTGAGTCGGGAGACGATACTTTTTGTTGACCGTATTCTACAGCGCACTTTATTGCATCGTCGCACATCATGTATCGCTTCGCCTGCTTGGATGTTTTTTAACTTGACTTTCGGACAATAAAATCAATCACCTTCACAGGAGGAATCTGCGTCTGTTTTGAACGAGTCTGCCTTTGTTATAACCGCGGCGGAACGGCGGTTGACCTGCTGTCCGTCCGCGAAAGGAAGGCGGTCCGCCGGCAAACGTGTTTGCGATTACGCCATTCTGCCGCTGCTACGATCTCTGGTGAACCGCCGGCGGCCCGCCGACTCATTGCTATCTGGGATACAACAAACGTGCAGTCTTTCGCGGATTCCTGTCGGATTACGGGGTTATGGATCCGTAGAAGAAAGCTGGATTACATCGCGACAGAGATCCTTACCGAGCCACGGATTCATCCCAACGCGAACAGCCACGGTAGGCACGCAAAATCCCCACTCTCACTCATGCTGCGTTCGGAAAGTTTTGATGGTTTGCGGGTGTCCATTGGGGATCGCCGTCTTTCCGGGTGACGTTCGCCTACATCGACTGTTGAATTGTTTGGCTTGGCAGTGCGGAATCGGATGTTGAATCCCGTTTGGAAACGTGAATTTAATTGAACGCTATTGACTCGTTGGTGCACTGTGAAAACTTGAACTGTCGAACTTGAAGACACAATGACCGAAACACATGATCGCGATGTGAATAATGTTTCCGAAACAATGGAAAAACGAGAAGTCAAACTAACTGCAAAGGCTTTGGCAATAAAAATTGAAAAACTTCAAAAGGAGCGAAAGGTGCTCGTAGATAAAATCAAAGCGCTAATTCCTGCTATAAAAGAGCTTATGAAAAGAAAGGAAAATGTACATCAGGTGCAACAACAAATACAAACCCTTACTCAGCTCCACGACACGGCCATTAAGCTACATAAGTCATTGATCCCTTTGCTACCCGAAAGCGAACACATTTCACAAAAGGAATGGTTCTTAAGCATCGAGAGCTACACCAACGTTTTCAAGGACAATGTTACCCAATGGCTGAGTGAAACTACTGTGAACTTGGAAGGAAACGACTTTGATGGCTTAAACAAAGACGTGCCTGACTCGGTGTACAGTATATGGCAAGTTAGAATTCTAACACACCCAGTGTTCGGGAATATCCAAGACCCCGCACCAGCATTAAGTAAAAGTATGAATCGAACCATCTCTAAACCCAAAGGAAGTATGATCAAAACTGATTTTCCGGAATGCAGCCTCGAGGAGCAACCTGCTTTGTCAAGGGAAGACCAAAAATTCATGAAGCTGGTCAGAAATTCAGCGAGCCTTGTGAACGGGCATTACCAGATTGCATTGCCCCTGAGAGAATGTAAATTAAACATGCCAAATAACAGAAAAGTCGCAGAGCAGCGCACTCTAAACCTTCAAAGGAGGTTCAAGAGAGATGTGTCTTTCCGACAGCAGTATGCAGACTTTATGGACAATCTTGTCTCCAAAGGATATGCTGAGCGAGTATCTGCGGAGGAACCGACTCGTGATGATGGG